GACAGGCCTTCAAAGCTGTGCTTCAGTACTGTATCCTACTGTATTGGACGTGTTCAGCTTTCAGTTCAGTGATGCTTTTTTGGTCATGAGGTAAGCTTCAGATCAGGTGGCAGGATGTTGGAATGGGTTGAACAGACCCTTGTTTCTTAGTATTCAAACTTCAGTCCACCAGGAAGAACATCTGAGGAGTGGGAAAAGCGTGTCTTACTACTCCTTTCTCTCCTTCCCTCACCCCCCTTGGGCTAGGGTTCAGATCAAAACATAAACCTCAATATCGTGAAGTACTCTAAAACTGAGGTTTCACTTCACAAAATTATAGGGTGAAATTCCTTCCAAAGTTCAAAGTAACTTCATTTTTATTTGACATTGTCCTGACTCTTACCAGGCATCCATTCATGCATGCTGTCTAGTTTGCTGCTTCTTAATTGAGTCACAGCTGTCGTTATCCATCCTCCTTTGGAAAACTTGTTGTGCCTAGGTTAAAGGAAAGAGCAGGATCCTTACCACTTAAATGTGCAACATTTGGATATTATTACACAACTGTTGCCCATCCCCAAATAGAGACTTGTCTATTATGGGAAGCTGGCTGAGATTAACACCAATTGTTTCAGAAGAACGTGGAAGCTGGTGTCACTCAGTTTTATTTCAGCTTGTTTGTGATTAAAGCATAATGCTTATATATGGTGGAAAAGTAAGTAAAAACTAGAATTGCCCTAGGCAAAGCATACACCAGCTTGTTTGCTGACAGAGAATACAGAAAAGAAAATGGAAATATTTTTCCATTTCCTTGATAATACAGTAATCACTTCAGATGCTACAAATGAAAGAACTTTGGTTGTATTGGCAGGAAACACAAAGACCATCTAGATGTGGTCATCATAATGAAAGTATAGATCAGTATGGTTTCTCCACTCAGCTCATCAAATGAATTCTCTTGGTGTTCAGATCAAAAATTGACCGAGATAATTCTGCCAGTCAGCATAGGCAAATTATATTTCTGTTGTGAAGTAGAAACTTTGTGTTCTGAGAGAAAGCTGCTCTTCCAATTTTTACTGTCCTGCATACTGTGGCCTTAGATGGAAATGTTAACCTTGACCACAAATTTCTGTTGAATTGAACAAAATCATGTTGATTTCAGAGTTGCTGTTCGGCATGGCTGAATGGAATCTTGAATTCAGGCACTAATACATCATGGACAAAAGCTTTAGAATGACATTGCACATTAGGATAACTGGAATGAAGGAGTAGGCAATAAAGGATTAACGTTAGTTCTTATTAATAAAGGAAGAGGAGGGAATTTTGCATGACAGAAAAAGGAATGTTTTACATGTTACTTTTTTCTTTATTTAACAATTTTTCCCCTTTTTTCACACACATTCAAGCTAGATCTAACAAGTGACCCAGGTACTGCTTAGAACTATTAAATATTTCTGTGGGGAAGATTGGATATGTAATTATACCAGGTTAGCCTGCTGAAAGTAGCAGTTCTACAGCTTTTGAAGAAATCACCTTATAATCTGAGCTGAAAGACACATTCAATATTGGAGTTTCAGGCAATAACAGTGAATTGCCTTCAGAACTCACACATTTGGACAGTAATCAGTTCGTAAGAAAATACACTAGCGATCTAAAATCCAGTTGAAAACTTCAAGTTAATCTGAACATCAAGAGAGAAGAGTAGCAGATTTATAACCACTTTTTAAGTAGTAACAGTCATTTACATGTCGTTTCAGTTGAGACGAATTCAAGAAGGATATCAAATATTCTGCCTTTTGTATCACACATACTACTAGTATTTTTTAGAACTATATCCAGAAGGATCATAGATTTTAGATTTTGTCTCCACTACCTACACTCTACTGTTTCATTTCTAACTTTGTCAAAGGCCTTTGTGCTTGCTTCTCAATAAATTAGGAGCATGTGGTGTGATTAGGAATCTTTCCGAATGCAGAGATGCCACTTTTAAGACACTGAGCATATTTGCATATCCATCTCTGCACAAATGATCTCATCTACTATTAGATTATTGCAGTGACATCTAAGCATTTGTACTACACGTAAGAATAATATGTGAAGGAAGGGATTTGTGCTTGGATTACTTCACATTTTGCAGCTGCTGGAGTGTCTTTTTTCAATAGATTCATTCAATTTCCATGTCTCATCAATGAACCATAACATATACTAAAGTAATTGGGTTATTAAACCTTTTTTAATTTGAAATACAGAAGTTGTGTTTTAAAAATTAGTGTTTGTTTTCTTACAGTGGTGAAACTAATATTGAAAAAACAATGATTGATCAATGTTAACTTTCGTAGTTTTGAATCACCGAACAGTGGTCCCAGTTGCTGTCTTTATCCAAACAATTAATAGCTAAATACTGCAAAATTTAAAAAACATATTTATGCATCTATATTAATGGATCAGTTAAATATCCTTTTATGTTTGAGTCATATAAGCCACTTTGGTAGCAGAGTGCAGTAGTGATCTTGCTGTAAGAATTATCAGCAGTAAATTGGTGTATAATTGGTGTATCCCTCTATGATGTATTTCCTAATGAATAGATGCAAGCCTTATGCTAAAAGGGATAAAGGTTGTAAATGAGGGTTAGAAAAATCTAAAGGCAGAAAATTTAGAAGTAGTTTCCGCTCAGCATTGGCATAGATACAAGTGTTACCTTTGCAAATGGTCTGTGCAGCATTTTCCTGTGCTTTATTTCCCAATTAATGTCTGTTGTCTGCAATGTAGATAACTTGAGTTTAGGATCTTTGACTCATAGGTAACAATAAGGACTAGTTAGCTCAGCGCTTACCACATGCTAATAATATTTTTGTATTGAGCAAATCACTTGTTTGTAAATCTTAGTAGAATGAAATACTTTTTGTGGAATTTGGTGGACCTTTAAATAGGCTTTGTTTAGGATTGCAGCCTATGTGATTAAGTACTGTACTTCCATAATAATTTTCATAATTCTCAATTCATTATCAGTAAACTGAGTAAGTTACAGTGGGGTGACATGACTTGTTGAAAATTAACTAGCAAGCTAATGAAAAGACAGAAGAAGGTACCCCGCTCTCTTAAGTCCCACTCCCGCCTTACCTCAGTGCTACGCAAAGCATAAGAAAGTAATCTTCTTTGATGCAGGAGAAAGACTAGAGATCCTCTCCATCCTAATAAGGCTAAATTGCTAAACGCTTCTCCCCCATAATTGCTTCTAATGGGAAAGAGATACTAGTCATACTTTGCAATATTTATAATGTGTTTGGTCAGTAAGAGAAATTGCTGGCATTGTCACAGAGTCTTGCAGATTAAATGCAATGACGTGTATTTGTTACCTCCACTGAACCACCCTTGCTCTTTCCACACACATTATTTCTGTAAGTTCCTGTGACCCTTCTCCTCACTTTCCCTGTCTTTCTCGCTAGGCCACTAACACTGAAAATCCATCAGGACATAGAACTAGACCAGTAGCCTGGTATCTGGGTCAGGTATCCTATCCATGCTGTCTGCCCATACAGCCTCCTCTGTCTTCTAACCATCCAACGTGTTGTGTGCTGGAACGTTGTAGAGACTGCCTCAAGAGAGGATTTTTTTGTTATTTAGGTCCAAGCTCCTACTTCGTATGAGAGGCAGGGAGAGACTCAAATCGCAGGCATGGCAACCCCTAGACAAAGCCTGAATAAGGTGTTTCCAAAAATAATAAAAATAATCTGTTTTCTGAGCCCTTGATTCCACTTTCCTTATGCCATTCTTCTTGCTGTATTTATCCTGCTCCTGACACTAATTCTTGCAGAAATAAATTCAAGCAGTGATTTTGTAGCCCAGCAGAGTTGGGGAGAGAGAAATAATCTGAACTTTCTGAAAGCTTTCTGGAAAGCTCTCTTTTGGGAACCTGTTACTCAAATGTTCTTGCATTTTAGTCTCTAAAGAATCAGCATCTTTGAGGGAAGGCATCATTTAAAAAAAAAAATCTGTTTGGGCCAGTTATCCATGCGGCCAAATGTGAAGTTGTAGGGTATGCCTAATTAAACATCTTTATCATTTTACAGAGGTGATGAATACTCATTAAATGGTTTTGCTATTTTAACTGCATTGAGAACAAACTTACGTGTTTTAAAATACTGGCATAGATATCTGAAGCAATATGTTTGTAGTTAAGGGTTTATTGAATCATACTGGTTTATACTAATTATTTTTGCTTCCAATTTGTAACAGATGGGAAGTATGCAAGCAGTCATGTTGCTATTCCCAACTAAGATGCAGCAATCTTAATTAGATCACTAATTTAATCACTCATTGCTCAGAAAGTCAGAAATCCAATGGTTGCCAAGTCACGTTAAAGTTATAGAGCCTCTGTTTTTAAAAATGATTCATCTGCTATTATCAATAGATTAAATTTATCGCCCATTTAAGAATATTCTGCTACAATATTCACAGCAATTGTGGGAAAAGATTAAATAAGTTGAGGGGAAAACAAAAGAATATGGAGAAGCATTACTTCAAGTGCATTATTAAGTCCCACTGTCTACATGATAATGGGTTCTTGTATACAGTTAAGTATAGATTTATTCCCAGAGTTCATTACTCCAATGTTTCGGAGATGACTTAACATAAATTAGGAAATGAATCCTTTTTTTGGTGGTGGTGGTGTCTCAGAATTGTATTAGTCAGCAGAAGTTCAGCGTGTACTAAAAGTATATAGAAAACTGAGTCGAAATGTTTTGAGAAATTATATGGTTCCTTGCCAGTTTTGGTTAGGATTGATTTTTATTTGCATATCTGCATTAACAGCAAACGAATAATTCTACATAATTATGAACATTAGCTGTCACAGATCTGTTAGTCATATTCTGATGTTATGAAAGTAGCCTTTTATTTAAAAGCATGTGCTATGTGCTTTGTTATAATTTATCTTTTTGGGGGATAAATACATTTTAAGCACAAAATTAGTACATGAATTTATACTAGCATATTCAAAGCTATAAAACTTTTATCTCTTTTAGAAAATTGAAAACGGAAGATTTGCAAAACTCAGATATATTGCACATGCTATGGTCAACAGTACAGACCTGTTAATGGTAACAAAAAGGTAAATGGTTTTGACTCTGAATAATAAGTACTTAAAACTATCATCAAAAATGTGCATGCCTTGATAATTGTTGATCTGTAACTGCGCTTTGACATGTCTGTCATTATGTACATAGATAAAATAATGGGGAAGGCATGCTTAGTGTGCTGTTAATAATCTTGTTAAACAGCGGCATTGTTCAGCACAAGAGTATGTTATTTTGAGTGCCATAGTAATTTCTCTATTTAAGGAGAGAAAAGGAATGTTGGTTTTATGATTTCTTCAGCTAAGAAAGATTTGTTATATATCTGGTTAGGTTGAAGTCAATGGAACTGTGGGATTCGCTTATAAATTAGCATAACGAAGGAAAAAAGGATAATACAGGAACAGAGAACAGAGTCAATAATGTCTGATAGTAGAGTATCAGGCATCCTTCTCAAATAAAAAGTCTACAACTACTTGTAGAAATACAGCTAAAGGTAGTGTTACGGTTTTGCTGTGAAACAGTATTTTAAATAAGTTAGAGGAAGGTTCAAAATTCACTCTTTTGGAAAGTATGCTGTATGGTTGTTATATATCATTAGATGAGAACTATTTGGAACAATGAATGACTTCACTAGAGCTAGGGTAACTCAATAACTTTTAAGTATTTTTACATTAGTTTTTAAATTACTAATTTTATTTTCTGGTGTACAGTGGTGTGTTATTTGTGACAAAAGGGACATTTGGACAGCTGACATGTGAATGGCAATACAGTTATGATGAATTTACCAAAGAACCATTCATTGTTGATGGCAGAAGATTACGTATTGAAGCCAAGGTCTGTTAACCTCATCATGCTTTGTTTTCTTTTTGTGTTACTGTTTATAAAATTGAAGTTTGAATTCCTGATCTCTCTCCTTTGAATTCTTGATCTCTCTTCTAGTTGAGATGCACTCAGAGAAGGGACTTGCAATTTGGCATGAGCAAACTCCTCTGACTGTTCTAAGCAGAATGGTGACTTGGTGTTTGCAGATGAAATTATTCCTTGAGCCCTGGGAATTTTTGCACCAGTTTATGGTGTATTCATAGTTTGGAAAATGGTGATACACAAAACTCTCCCAGAAAGTTGCATTACGCGCTCTGGTGCTGTGGAAATATGCCAATATGTGGAAATCTACCTTGTTGCAATCCTGAAGATTCAAATACATTTGCATGTGCTATGCTTCAAGGATTGTTTTTCCATTTGCTAGTAATCAAATTGTTCAAAAATATAATAAGGTATTAATATCTTCATAAAAACTGTAATGATATATGCTTATCCCTTTCAATGCAAGTTGAAGATTGTTGCTCTCAGTTGCAATTTTTCCTTTAAAAAAATCCCCAAACATTCTTTCCCTGGTAAATTGGCAAAGGGTATAAGAAGAAAGATGACCGCTGATGACTGAGTATACTTACAGAGGCAAAGTCCCTTAAAAAAAAAATTCTTAAATTCTTGTTGAGGTGGTAACTGAATTTATTTTCAATCAGTAAATTTACCTGCCAGTGTTTTGTTTTGTTTCTGGTTTTAATAAGCTTCCTGTGTGTAATTACACATCTTGGTTGTCAGGACAGTCTTGACAGTGTACAAAGTCATTCACTTTTTCGCTCAGATTATTTGTTTCTATTGCAGAGAGCATGAAAGGCAAAGCCATATTGGTTTGGAATCCTCCAAACTGGATTTCTGACTGCAAGTGAACTTTTACAGGATTAAATAATTCTTAGAGTTTCTGTCATTTCAGACAATGCTGAATAGCATATCCATTTTTACCCCTATACAGCAGTCATTTCAGAGTCCATTTACATGTCTGCAGTATGCTCTTTATTGAAACCTATGGTTGAAAACAGTATTTTGCAAAGCACTGCATATCTTTTATTTCTGAAGCCTAAGTTGCTATTTTCACTACCTAAGGCCACTACTTGCAAGTCAGTATTGGTGGAATGTCCACCCAGGTAATGACTTGAAGGAGAATGAAAAATGACAGCCTTAGGGAGCACTGGATTTTGTTACCCACATACTCCATTATCTGCCTTCCATTCCTACACACGTTTATAGTCCAGTCTCCAGGGACTCCATGGTAAAAAGGGAAGTCTGTTATTGCTGGAGTGTTGCACTCCACTGTGCTTTCATGCAGAAAATGAAGTTTCTCAGGGTGTGTGCATGCGATGTGAACATACTCAGATTAGTGTAATGGGTACACATTGCTGTCTGAACCATATAGCTGCCTTAACGGTAAATAACTTCTTAGTCATAAAGTTTGAAGAAACTAATTTCGATTTTGAATTACTATTTTTTTTAGGAACGAGTAAAGTCTGTGTTCCATGCCAAAGAATTTGGAAAAATTATTAATTTTAAAAGTCCAGAGGATGCTAAGGTAAAGTCAAAATACTGTTACAATTATACTGTACTAAATTTGGCTTAAAAAGTGAAACAGAAATATTCTTAACCTGAAACTACTGTGTATATTTAAAATTCAGTATTTCCATACAGCCATTACACAGATGGAAATGGCAATGATCATTCAGTACTGAATTGCAAAAATACTTAATTCCAACACCAAACTTTTCCTTACATAAATCTTTGGAATTATAACTGTGTAAACGGTTGATTTAACAGTACTGCTAACAAAAATTAAACAATCCAGAATGTGAATTAAAATAGTATGTTTTAATAGAACAAACAATATTTCTAAATTACTCCTAGTTTTATTCCGGGGGGGTGGAGAGGGTGTCATTTCTCTGTTCCATAAAATACAGTTTTGGTTGAAGAATGAAGAAAATCCCTAATAGAAACACAAATAGTTTATTTGATGTATGATATTACTACTATTATACACATACTCTATGTGATCTCTTCATTTTGACATCACTAGTTTTCACTACAACAGAGAGCAGGAGCAGTTCAGGTCTGCTACCAGAACTATCAGGTAGCCGGATTGCGAAAGTTCTGCTGTGTTTATATTAGCGTAGCTCATTATTTTCACAAACAATAAAGTAGCCTTGTGTATATTCACACCAGTGGGATATGGTACCCTGGGATTACTCTTGGAAACAGCCTGCAAAAGTTGCATCCTCTCATCAGTTTAAGTTGCTTCTGTCTTTATGAGGGTAGTTTCTAACCACAGCTGAGCGATGCCTTTTGACTCTTACCTCAAAAAGCATTACAAATACTGTCAAGGTATTTCAGGGCCCCAGGCTGAATTTGACTTGTCTGTACTCTTTGGAGGTACCGAGCTCCTCTTCGTTTTCTTTTTGGCGGTGGTGGGGCAGGTGCAGCGTTGAGGTCCAGTAGTCTGTGTGGGAATGGAATCTCATCTGTGCCCCAGCTAAATCAGAAACAATACCAAAAATCAAATTAGTGCATGATATATTATCTATGCTGTAAGTCTTAAGCTAGGAAAAGAAAGCTGAAAAAGCTGTGTGCACTTGGTTTGCGTATTTTCCTAGAAAGGCCTGTGAACCTCACAAAACCAAACACGAATGCGAATATGAGGGGAAAGGTCACTGTCAGACAGGCTTGGTAAGGAATGTGGTTTTATCTTGGAGAAGGACTGCTGAACAGATTCATTCAAAAATTGCCATCAGGGCCTTAGGGGCTATCCTGCAGAAAGTAAGTCTTTGAGAGTTGCTTCTGGGCTTTTTAGCCTACGGCTCACTTCTGCAAACATGACGCTTGTGTGTATACACAAGTATATAGAGAGACAACGCTTAGGGAAGTGTGGAAGTGTGTTAGGAACAGTGAAAATGAAACTTGCACCCTTTATAGTAAAAAGAGTATGAGGTCATTTCAGTGACACTCCTTTGTGAACATTTTTCCCCTTGTCAGTCTAGTGGACACTACAAGGTTGTCCCATCTGTAAGAAGTGCCATATTCTGATGAATAGTAATTTCTTGAACAGCCAGTTCTTCTGTCAAACCTTCAGCATCCTGCTAAACAGAAGCTCTAGTTTTGTTGGGGGGTGAGCTTGTCATGGGGAGGAGGGGATCCTAAAGATCTGTAACATAGAACCTGATCTGGTGACAGAATCTGATTTGTAATAATCCACTCATCGTCTTTGAAAGCATTATGCAGTTTTCTCATGGTAACCCCTTTGCATAACTTAATGTCCTACCCTAGATTTCCGTGTCACTGCCCCTTTCCCCTCCCCCCCCCTTTTTTTTTTTGACTCTTGGGAAACTGATTTCCCTTCCTTGTTCAGTAAACACTTGAATTTGAAATTCCTGAAAAGAAACCAAATATAGTTAAAGAAAGCTTCTTTCTAAATAACTGTATTATCACATTGCTGCAACCTTTCTTGTCCTGTCTTTTGTTGTCCTTGCTTCTCCATTGGCATCTGTGATTTGTCTAGTTGTAGACTAATGTAGAGTATTAATAATAATGTGGGTGAAATGATGGTGTAATTTTTTTTTTTTTAATATTACACACTGAAATACAGACCAGGAAACTGAAACATCAACCCAGTCAGTTTAATTAGCTGTGGTACTCAATGTCAGATATTGGTACTTAAATGCTTCCATTTTCATGTGAGAAAATCAGGGGTTTATAATCTACAGTAGAATTTTGAGCACTGTGTTAAAACTCGGTTAGGAAGAGAGAAGGTAGTGAAGTGTCTGGCCAACCCAATCTAATTTTCAGCTGCTTTGTATGGTTTTTATCAAGGAAACATTTTTGTTTTTTCCTTTTCCTTCACACAGTGGATCCTTTCTAAACTGGAAGAAGTGAGAGAGAATCAGCCAAAATTGTAATGAATGGAGAAGCACCAAGATACGAAGAACACTGAACAGCTACCTTTTAATTCCTCTTTAACAAGCAGAACCATTTGAATATCAGCAACAAAAGCAAAAACAGGAGGGAAGGAAGACTTACGAAATTGTTTATTATGGTCACAACAGTCTATGGCTATATCACAGAAATAGATGATGTTAAGTTAAAAAAAAAAGTCTAGTGATGAAAAAAATTCTGCCAAGTTTTGGCTTGTTTGTTTGTTTTTAACATAAGAATTCCAGATTTCTTTTTTTTTTAAATACAGTGTAAAATGCATTTGTTTTACCATTACATTTGATATTGAAATTGAACTCTGGAATAATTCGTATGATACTATTCAGAGCACATCTTTTGTGTTTTATTTGATTCTGAAAATCAATACTTAGTTTGTGTCTTAGTCTTTATATGACTTGAGCCTGTGTTGAAATTCAAATTTCTTATCAAAGGAAATGTTAACTTAATAATTACTAGTCTTATAACTCAAATTCTAAGAAGAAGGCTACTGACCAGGGAAGTCTAATTTAGATGATCACAGGAGTGGCTGCTTAGTTAACAATATTGTTTTCTTTTTGTAAATGAATGGACCAGGTCGTGATGAATTTAGAATACAGTATCACTTTTGGTGTAAACTTTTTTTATATTCTACTCAAGGAAACATTGCAGCACCTCTATCAATATTCACAGAAAACATAACAGTTTACAAAAATGTATAATGGGGAGAATTAATAGATCTCTGCACTAAAAATATTAATTAAAGCCTATTATTTTAAATAAAAGTTATTAACAGTCTTGCAACTTAAGGAGTTTATGGGGTTATAAGTGCACTATTGCATACCAAAAATAAATGCCTTGGATTACACAGTGTTGTGTGCTAAGCAAGTGACTAATAAAGTCAAATTTATATTAAATAATAAATATAATATTTCACAGTTGCTTTCATCAATTTTTCTTACCCAATGAAACTTTTTTGTTTCAAATCCAGAGAGCAGAACTTTAATAGGGAGAGCTTGAATGTGTGCAATTCTGCTTATTTCTTAGATGCAGTAGTCATAGTATTGTTTAATGTCTGTTTACTGCAGTTGATTTTAAAAGTACAGGAAACAGTACAGTGTTACATGGAGGTTTCCATAAATTCCCATATAAAAGTCTTCAAAATACCTGATAGATACAGGAAGTACTTGCTGCCAAAATATTATTTCCAAACAATTGTTTGGAACATTTATAGCTTCAGGATATAATTCTGACATTGCTGGTGGTGCTTGAGATATCCAAATTGTCGCAATATCGTAAAATCTGAAATTACTAGCATGCTAACCTACAATTTGCAGTTTTTTAATTTACTGTAAGTTTTGTCATTGGTGTTGAGTAACCAATTTAGCAGGTTACAAAATACATGTAATATCGTAATTTTTCCCATAAATTGTAAATTGAATCAAAAGATTATAAGAGAATTCCAGAATATGACAATGACTGTATTACTCCACTTGTTTGTACATCAAGCACGTACCAAGAGTATTAACTCAGGTTATAATCATGCCAAACTAATACAACACTTGCCTTAGATAAGTAGTGGTATTAGGTGCACTGAGTACCATTCTATATCTGTAATTTGTTTTTCATCTATCGCTTTTCATCTTAGGCAGGATAGTTCAATTAGTAGCCTCATCATGATCTTGATTCTTGATTACTGTATTGTCTCCTCCTCTCGCTTGCTATCCCCAGTACTTACTGAGTATCTCTGCGACTTTCACTTCTAGTACCTCTTCCAAGTACTTTGTACATTCCCGTTTGTGTAGCTTTTCAATTTACCCTACTCTAAATATTTTCTCCTCACAGAGCCTCTATTTCAATTAATATTATCTCCAGTTCTTAATTTTCTTACATATATTTTGCCTACAAACTCCTGATTCTCAAATCCCAGCTGGCTCTTTAGTAATATTTGAGCAATTTAACCATTAATGTTGAAGGATTTATTTTAAATGTGCATGTCTGTGGTTAAGCTCATGTTTTGGAAAACACAACAATTCTCCCAAAATTGCGTTTTTCCTACAGACTATAAAATATTTTGATCATCTGTGCTAACTAAAAGCCTTAACACAAGAACTAAAACAGTGGAAGTGTTCAAAAGTCAGTGTGGGACCTTTCCCCCACTCCTTCCATGTGTCAATGGCAACATGATTTTCTATAGTTCCCTTTTTCTAGTCAGTAAATTGTATCTTTTTTCTTTGTTTTTTCCTTACGCTTTCATCATACAGTCATGAATGAATTTTGCCATTTCTTGGCAGACACCAGTTCTCTCTGTTTTAACTATAAATCAGCCTGGGGCAAGGAGAAAGGTGTTCAGACTTACGCCATTGTGTAGTTTTCTGGATTACTGCAAGTTGTTTGAGATGTCCACTCTGCTATGCCTCATTCCTTATTGCAATATGCATATTTTTTTCAACACGAAGGCAGAATAGATATATTAATTTTTATTAAAAATGTATATGCAATTAGACAAGGGGATCTCGATAAAAATTTAAAATGTCTGCATTTAGGTCTGCCCACTGGTGATGTTTAAAAATATACCATGGCCTTTACTGAAGTACTGAAGAACAGTTTCTCTTCTAGATGACTGTTACCTAAACTTAATACCTTTGAGGAATGTCATTTGGGTTCTCAGTAGTAGTTTAAGGGTTAGAATTACCTCTAAGAAATCAGTGACAAACGAATCATAGAATCGAACATGGCAGACACATTCCTAAAGCATTTGTAAGTCTAACTGTTTGTGCCACTTTTTGCTCAGCTGCATGGTTTTGCATGGCATGGCTCTTTCGGTTTCCACACTCCCCCCTAGTCCCCAGCCTCTTCTTCACCTCAAATAAAGTGAAACTAAATTTTATTTGACCGGAATGTGATTATTATTTGTTTTCTTTACATACTGCTTTAATTAACAGGTAATACCATTACTCAGAATTTTGTAGGTAGAAATTGACAAGTCAAATCCTGTCTCTGAGAACACAAGGTCAAGCTTCTGTTGCAGCCTTCTCAGTGAAAGCAGAATAGACTTCAGTCTTTACCTTTGGTTTATTTTAAGGACAAGTTTTTAATACCTGGATTTACATGTATAAGCTTCCTTTGAAGTATTTTTTTTCCTGTTGCTGCATTGAAAAAAACATAGATGATGTTGCCAGATAACTAGATTCTTTTGAAATCCTCTATTTTTCCCCAAAATTTCTGTACATATGCCATTAGCTATTTATTATCTTTAGCACTTCACAAAATACACTCACATGTCAAACAGATCACTAAGGTCTTTTGTTCCTTCTGAGTTATTTTTAGCCATCTGCCTGCAAACAACAAATACCACACACTAGTCAATAAAGGATTAATATTGCTATGTCATGGTAGTTAAAATATAATACTTACAGCATATTCTTGAATTTGAACTACGAACCCTAAGTTTCCTAATTATTCTGCTGATGTAAAACAGTTTCAATAAATACATCACATACCTTAATAGGACTGCTAAGTCTTGTGGCTTGTTTGTAAATATCTCCATATCTGTATGAAGTTTAAATAATTTGTATATATTTGATTTGTAGATATTTCATGATACTGTATTAGCTTCAAGAATGAGAATATTCCACAAAACTATAAGATTTTTTTCTTCCCCTTCTTGAGCCTTTCACATTTGAATTCCAGAAAAGAACTGCCTAAAGACTGCATTGCCTATAATCACGTAAGTATTGCACAAGACAAGGGTGTGCAGAGTTTCTTCAGCTAATCATACAATTCCACAGTAGCTTTTTCCAGCATTAAACTCTCCCAGTTGATCCCTTTCCATCTGCAGTGACTAATCTTTACTGAAGATGCGGCAAAAACTAAAGCAGCAACCAAAACCAATGAAAGATTTACCTTGCCGGAACTAAGGATGTAGGTGGCTGAAGTTCCTAACAGTTAATTACTGATTTGTTTTGTTTTTTTCTTCTTATGTTGATCAATTTATCTGTAACTTCTGCCAAGGAAGGGTCTCGGGTTCTATGCTTAAATGTGTTACTAAAACCAGACTGGTCGAATGAGCTGTCTGTCCTTGCTATTGTGTGCAGATTATTATGGAAATTAATTCAATACTGTGGAAAGTTTGGGGTTTTTTTTCCCAATTTTTTTTAAGGAATTTAGACCATGTATTTCAAAAGAACAGGGTTATTAAATGTAGGAACTGTTCATGAAAAATACTGTTAATATGCATTGTGTATTTGTAATTGTCTCAGATATGGTGCAAAGTGTTTCTGACTCAGATTTGTTTTTCATGTGTACCACAATACTTGTTTCATTACGCAGATCAAAATTTTACAAAGCATTTCACGTTTTCATACAGAAGACATCTGTGTTTATCATAATCTTCTCTTGAAATGCAAATTGTCATAGTTTGGTTATGCGATTCTTGAATGCCTTACACTTTTCTGTCTAAAACTGAACAAACGAGCAGATAGCCGACGTCTTTTTTCCTGCCTATAACTCAATTATTCAGTCAAGATTTGCCTGTTGTTATTCTTAGCAGTGGATTAATTTGGAATTTTCTGCTAGTATATGCAAGTACGTATATGTATCAAATAGGAGCCTGAGCTTTGTTATTTGATCTAAGAAATGCAACCATGATCTCAGTCACAATTTTTGCTTTTGTGACTGCAAGTGGGATCTAAGGATCTAAAATTCCACTCACGGCAGACACAGGATTTTCATAAAGAGGTTTTGATTGTTTTCATGGCAAATCTGGAACAAGAATTCTAAATAATCTTGTAATACTTCAAGGGAGGAGTAAATTGGCTTTTAAGTCTTCTCCTACAAGGAGTAAAAGAATGTCCATGCCATTAATTTTTATTAACTCATCATCTCCAGATCAATACATCTAAGGCTGAAACAAATGTGACTGCTGGAACAGGTGTGATGTGGTAGGACGCTAAGAGGCAAAAAGGGAGAAAACCTGAATTTGCTTTTTGCTGGATGTCTCCCAGGTTTTTTATTTTTGTGGGTTTTCATTCCTTGTTGCATCAAGCAGATTGAGAACTATGTTCTCAATACAGCAGAAGCTGCCCTCGTGAATGTTTTTAAGTGTTGGTTGTGAAGTATGAAAGAAAAGCGTTCTTGTACTGATGGGTCCTGTGACATGGTAACTGTCTCACAATCTGCAAAGCTTGTACTCCGGCAAAGCCAGGCTCCCAAATTCAAGGTGCCAATGTGCTCTTCACATAAACAGCAAATCTGGACTCAAGATACGGAACTGCTAAGAGTTTAAACGGACATTTTTCCAGAAGTTCCCAGGGGGGCTCAGAACTGGATCAGTAAGTTCAAGCGTTTGGGCATCTCATACGGTCTCCTCCATCAAGGCTGCTGCCCTAGAAAAAGGTTTTTTTTGTCTTCTTTTCATGTGACTGAAAGTTCTCAAGTTAATGTAAAACTTCAATATCTACAGATTTTATGACAAGAAATGCTTTTGAATTATTTTTTGAGCAATCGTGGTTAGTTTAGGACAGCAGGTCTGAGGACTTGTCACCTCAGTACTTCTGAGGGAGGGTAGAGATGACATGTCGGGGACACGGATGACACATGCACAGACGTGCTGTTTTATTCCGTGCTTTCTGTCACTCGCCCTTGGCCTCTTGTTGTTCAGCAAGTGGCACCGAACCCTGCACCTCATCCCAGGGTGTACTGCGCTGTTCCCTCTGTGCTGATTACTGCCATTCACAGGTATGGGCACAACGTATAGGTCAGTGTCGTTCTGTCACAGAAAAATGTTAAAGCAGTGTAAGAACAGGCTGCTACTGCTTGTTCCAACACTAAGAAAGAACAAATGAATCGAATGTTACAGGCTGTTTTCTCCTTAGCAAGCAAAACCAGCTCTGGACGTACTTTACTTTTTCTGTACTGCTGGACAAAAGGGAACTGTGCTGTTTAATACGTGAATCGGTAAAACATTTTTTATAGGCAGTGAAAGGTCAGGGTGTGCTTTTCACAGGACTGAAGTGCGAGGGTTAGCAACCTGGCTGAATACATAGAAGCACTACTCAAGCTGAAAAATCAATATAACCTGAATTTTTTCTGTGCTGCATAGAAATCGCTATTTTTATGCTGATAGGAAAAACTACTGCTATAATGTTTCTTCTTGGAAAAATGGAATTTTCATGTATTTAAATACAGGAGAACCTCAGCACATCTTATGGCCTGAATTACTGCTAATAAATGACTGTTCTACTAAAACACTCCCCTTACCAGTGTTGCTGGGTTAGCTGATCAAGTGCCAGTGACTACCATGAATTTTGAATGGGTAAAAAAGGTTTTCAAGATTGCCCTAATGTCTGAGAATTTTTGACCCGGTGAAGGAGAATTGTTGAGCTATTGGTGGTGCTGGCATCTTTAGCGGAGAGGATTGTAGTTGGGCAGGGAAGGGAGGAGATGGGAGAATGCCTGGAAATCTAGAGGAAAGGCTTTACTGCTCTCTTAAGCCATGCAAAACTACCTTTGAAGCTCAATGACAGGAAAATGCAAAGTGCAAAAAGCAAGTTACGTTAGTGACTTGGAGGAATTTAAGGCCTAGTTCATCGCAGGCAGCTGCGGATGATCTCCAAGATCCTGTGGCAGTGAATGCTGAGAACGTTTGCAAAATACCTTGCTCTCTGAGAAATGCTCTTCCCCTTCAGAAAAGAGTAAATTCCATGGACTGCGTGCAAGACCTTAATCTATCATTCCTTAACTGTGAAAGGTATCTGGTTATTGTAAGGCACTTGAACAAAAAGGCAGTGATATGCAAGGGTCACCAAGAATTAATCTTTTGCAATGATTCCTAGAACGTTAACAGGTTTGGCCTATCAAGGCTACTGAAAGATGCTTCTAAAAAGTGTAATAGGTTTACCCTAGTCTTTCAGCTATATTGCTCAGAACAAGAATATAAAAATGTCTAGTACCCTAAAATAACACTAACTTGTCATTTTTAAGGCATGACTGACTGAATTTTATAAGCTATGATTGTAAATATAAAATAAAAAAAAGAAGAAAAATCTTAAAAAAACCAGAGCAATGCAGTTATGTACATTCTCCTAAATATACGTAATTCCCACAGCTGTCAAAAAATAATTCACAGACAAAACTAATATGGGAAATATGAACACAATATTTTAGATGTATAGCTTAAAAGTAAATTTTGAAACTCATTCTTTACAGTTCTCGATCCATACTTCTTCAGTAAATATAAATCCTCCTCCCATTTCTGTAAATGGTATTTAAAACGACACCTCTTTTTTTATCAACTTTTTTTATCAGGCTGTGCTATGAGTAAACCACACTTTGTGGCTGCAACCACATTTTTTCTTTAAACCAGGTTGAACTCCCTCAGGTTTAATTGCAGGATCGTGTCCTTGACAGCAGCGAAGACGAAACGAATATTTTCTGTGTCTGTGGCACAAGTGAAGTGGGAATAGATTACTTTCTCCTTGTCTGGATTCTGATCCTGATACAGCTTCAAAATGAAGTCTCTGGCAGCTTTGACATCTTGTTTAGGTCCTAGTCAAAAGCACAAGCAGTGGTTTTGAACAGTTAAAAGCTGTGGGTCAAGGAACAGACATATGGACAGTATCTTAACAGGCTAATTTCATATTTAAATGTGAAGTCGCCATAAAGGCACACTCCCATGTTGGTATTTTCTCATTCATGTGTTAGTGGAGCAAAAACTGTTACAACAGTGCTTTCTAAAATGTCTGAAGTATGCTTTTTTCAACAGTAAAACTTACAGGTCAAGTAATTTTTTATAAAAACCTACGCAACTGAAATAACCCAGCATATATTAATAGTTAGCATATATTATAGTTTGTCAAAGACCATGAGAGAAATTAAATTTTCTGAAACACACAGAGTAAACAGGATTCTCTTTGGCCAAGAGAGGGACATGCGTTTTCTCTGTAGCTATTAAATTATTTTAATTCTTTTCATTATTAATTGGAGGATTCAACGTGATACATGTCTTGCAGAATATAATACTGTATTAAATAATGGAATACGTGTGTCATTATTTTCATCATTCTTTTGGTGACTTTAAGTATCAATAATGTTTGTTAAGGAAAGTTATTCAGGCTGCTTTTTAACTTTGGACTTTCATATAGATAACAAGTTATAATAGTGAACGCAAAACTATACTATGGATTTTTACTATATAAAGATTGGATTAATATCGTATTCCCCAAGTTCCCCCTGTATCTTGTCTCTTGAGATTGAGGATGGAGAAAGGTGCTTCTTCTCATAAATAGTGATCGTGCCACTCTAACAGTAACAGAATGGCTGCAAGAAATCTCGTAAGACTCTGTCCACAATGCTGCAGCAAAAAAAAATTCTAGTAAAACCAAGTAACTTACGTTTGTATTTTAAAGGATAGAGTGGAAAAGCATAGATATCAAATATATAATTCCACTTTCCCTGCTCAATTTAATGAGGAAAAACTAACTGGTTTAAATATGACTGTTAGCTTTGTGAAGATAGCCTGGGATAAATGCTTACCTGTGTATTCTGGAAAGTAACTAATTAGATGGGAATACATTATTTTCTCTTCTAGAAGATCTTTTTTGTTTAAAAACAAAATGACTGAAGAATTCAGAAACCAGGGATATGTAATGATAGTTTTAAATAAGGCCTTGCTTTCTTCCATTCGATTCTACAACAACAAAAATTAGTATGAAGTTACACTCTCTAACAGTAGAAATAACATCAGCAGAGATCATCCAGGTTTTTTTGAAAGCTTTTTAAAAAATACTACGTTTATTAAGCGCAATTGCAATGCATTGGTTGATCATTACTCTACATGTTCTATATCCTTTTACTCACTGAGTTTTGGGTCAGTGCTATGAATGGCATGATGGCATGTGAAATCAAAGCAAGCCTTAATAATAGAAATTATTTGAATTCTTGTATGAGTTAGCGAGCAGCCATGGCCTGCTGCTCCATGAAAGCCTCTTCTGACCTCACAGTGAGAGCTGAAGAAGGGTGTAGCGGGTCAAATATCTGCTGTTAACGTACTGTAACATAGCTGCAGGACAAGAGTATATGTACTCATCTATACTAGTAATGAAGTCTGTCCATTTCAAGAGAGATCTAAGGAACACCACATTCAGAGATTGCTGTTCGGAATTCCTGGGGACAAACCTGTGATAGCAGTCAGTTTGTTATTTATTTCCTGATGTCCAAAGTGAGCATAACAAAATGTTCAAGATGGTGAAAGGAGAAAGAAAATTACAGTTACCAAAGTTGCTCATGCATGAAAAGATGACAGGAAACTTTGAAAACTTGCATCTCGACTACAATGGATATTGTGACACTTCAGCAAGTGAAGTATGCTTTTCACAGTTCAAACAGATCTCGAGAAAGTGATCTGTAAGGGCTTTGGGACTTTAGAGTTCAAATGGTATTAAGCGTTTTTGAAGGACGTTTGAAGGAATCCTCATACTGCAGGATGTAAAGCAACCACTACCAAAAGGAATGCAGTTCCATTAAAATGCTTTTCTCTAATTGCCTACTGTTTTCTTTTTTGCATCCTTCTCTACAACATCTGGCTACTGCTGATGACAGCACTCTAGAACAGATGGGAGAACTCATCTTATGTTTTCTAACCTTAGGAAGGAAGTAAATTTTAAGTTATTTTGTTTTAATTTTCCTTAATTAATGCACAGGTTAATTCTGAAACATCAGAGACTTAAGAAACAAAACAAAAAAACCCTAATTACAGATGACTGAGGTAGTTTTACTTGCTGAGAGATACTGCTGATGCTCAAATTCTCAAACATTTGACATGGCTTAAGAGATTTAAAACGTTTTTAAATCATGTTTTGTCTTTCAAGGTAGAGTTCACTTTACAGGCAGGCTGCTAATTTAATACAACTTCGGGACTGCTTGACCAGCTGCTTCATGTAATTATAGTATTTGCAAATGCTTTTATGAAGACATGTGAATGCTATCCTTCTTAAAAAGCACACATCATCTTTTTCTGTACCTTATTTAGATACCCACTCCTTACCTCATTGTCACATTCTGCCAAGACTTGATCATATTCACTTAATGCAACTAAGAAAATGATGGAAGTAACACTTTCAAAACAATGGATCCACTTCCTTCTTTCTGACCTTTGGCCACCCACATCCACCATCCTGTTAAACAGAAATACAGTCAACGTATTAGTCATTTTCATAAGATACTTTAAGTATATCCAAAGGCCTTATAATAGATTACTTATCCGAGATAAGCTCGAACTGTGGAAAGTATATCTTAACATTGTATGTTCTGTTTAATATTTAAACTTGATTCACTTGCTGTAGTGCTACAACTTTCACTGTTCTTTAGTGGTGGTGTGTGTTAATCCTGCTAAGCACAACGCAGCTGCTTGCTCACTATCCCCCGACACTGTGGGTGGATGGGGGGAGATGAAAGGAAAGAGTATAAGCAAGAAAACTTGGGGCTCAAGATTAAAAAAGCAGTTGTTTAATAAGTGAAGGATAAGTGAAAGAAGAGATAAAGAAAACAAAACAAGTGATGCAAAGGCAATCACTCACCACCTCCCATGGGCAGACTGATGCCCAACCAGTTCCCGAGAAAAAGATGGCCAACCTCCCTAAAGCACTCTCTTTTCATTTTTATCACTAAGCATGACATTATATGATGTGAAATATGTCTTTGGTTAGTTCAGATCATCCGCCTGGCTGCGTCCCCTCCCAACCTGTTGTGCGCCCTCCCAGCCTATTCACCGGAGGGGCAGTGAAACAGAGGTGGCCTTGGTGCTGTACAAACGCTGCTCAGCAAAAGCTAAAACACTGGTATGATGTTGTCAGTACTGTTTTGGTTACAAATCTAAACCAGCACCATATCGGTTGCTATGAAGACAATTAACTTTATCATAGCCAGGCCCAGTATAAGCCACTTGAGGCACAATACAAAATATAACTCTGGGTTTCTTCTGTGCTGGTAGAAGTTCTAGCAAAGGCAGATGTGAACATACTCAATTTTGTTTCCCCACACACTCCAAAATCTCTGTTGCCCCCCCTACCCCCAAGAACTGCAGTGTAGTCATATCTCACTCCTCAAAACAATCAAAATGCTCACAAATATCTTAGTTCCACACCAAATTCCTATGGTTTTGCAGTTAAGTCAGTCCCTCACATTTTATCCAGGTCAAAATACTCCCTAGAACATTCCGTTTGCCGGGAAAAAACAGTTAGGCTGGTTTGACCATGTGTTATCAGAGAGGATTCTGGTACTGTGTTGTAACTGCAGGCAGGTGTTTGTTCATGATGAAATGGATAGTTTGGTGGAATAACATCTATAATCATGGTAGTGTGAATTCTGCGATTTTGAAATAAAAAAATATGCTTTCCCTTAGAAAATCAGTAACCCCACCTGTTGCGATAGCTTGTGTAGTAGCGGATAAGATAATTTTAAGGTGCTCCTCAGACTTTCTTTCAACTTTATGAGTACGTTTGTTTCTCTCAATTCCACTGAACGTAATTTTTTTTTTTTTTGTATGTTATATGGCAGGAAGAATAGAAGTATCTACTGTCGTGACCCTCCGCTTTTTTTCCCCTCCTCCTTTCCCTAACTTTATCTAACTGGAAGTTGTAAACTCACCTGAGAGCTTTAACATACCTATTAGGGCTCTCTCTTCTGAACAATTACAGTCAGAAGGCAAAAACTGTTGGCTCTAAATGGAACTAAACTACATTCGGATATGAGCACTCGTGTTACTACAAATACCTTGCCTCTGCACCCCCCATCCAAGACTTTTAATTAAACTAATAGTTCAGAATACACAGCAATTTGGCTGCTTGAATTGAAAACCTTTTTTCATGTAATGTAAGTTTCAAAAGCAATGTTTTGAAACATCCACCACTCAAGTTACTGTATTAATTTTGGAGACTAAAAGGGCTGGAAACATATGCAACACTCATTGAATGCAAAAGCTTAAAAGACCTTAGAAGTAAAGCTGCAGCAACTACTTCAGAATTGTATACTGAATCATTTGACAGGCAGTCTTACCTAAATATAATATTTTCTAAATCAAAAGGATACTCGATAATTCCTGTAGTTGGAACTCGGACTCTAAGAATATCTTGCTGAGTTGGCACAAATGAGGGCATAGCAATACGATCAAGGTCAGTAAGATAACTGAAAAGTTAAATATACAACAGAAACAAGATTAATGCACTGTCATAGATTAATCACATGGATTCAAAACCAAAGTACTAACCAGCAATCACAGAAGTGTTCCCACAAAAGTAGCTAAACAGAAATTCAGTTGTGCATGGCCTTAGCGCAGTTGTTGTTGGCATAAAACTATAAAACCCTTTACTTTAGCTGAGACCTGAATGTACATTTCAGACAGAATACTACTAATCAAAAGAGATGATGCCTGAATGTTCTATAGACAATCAGCCCACACCCAAAATGATGAATTTTATTTGAATAATCTTTGCTATTACTGCAGAATGAACATGAGAATTAAGGTTTGCACACAGATATCAGTCCCGGTCATAATGTTTACCAACAGTGCTCTATCCCCTGTCACTTCATCCGTGATGCTAATATTGCACACAAATGTGAAAGGTTGCTGGACAGAATTCAGAAAATAATTAATGGAAAGCACTACAAATATGAATGCTTCAAACTTACATATTTTTAATACAAAAGATGATGCATTTAGTTTCTTGTCTGCCCATGCAATCATTCCTAACTTCACCCTCCTTAGTTTCACAAGTTTGTTGTGGTTTCCATGGCTGGGATTAAATTCTAGGATGAATTCCTGTGCCTCAATAAACGAGCAGTGTGTGAGCAAGACACAAAGAACCGATGCCTAGTATTCCTCTCTGCAATCTATCTTCCCACCACTAGAAGGCAACATTAGATCATCCAAAATCCTAACAAGGCATACAGAAAGTATAAGGTGTATTCCAAATCATACAACATGGTTGTAGCACAAACTTTCCTTTACTTAAGCACTAATTCCCCCCTCTTCCTTTGGTGGAAGAAGGAGGGTGTCGGTGTATTCTCCCCTTGCTACCTAAACATCCCTCACATTTGGGGCCCAAAATAAAAAATACTTACACTTAATATTATCACTTACTCAGAAAAGATTTCTCTTAAGAAAATTCCTCCTCTCCAGCAATGTAGCAAATTGCTATTGAATCTCAATTGTAATTAACAGTAGAAGGAAGATTCAATAAAATTTAAAATAAAACTGATTTTCCATTGTGGCTGATTTCTTAGAAAATGAGGCTACAGTAGACCATTAAGTGGCATCCTCCTTCTCCAATGTAGGATTATTTAAGAACAAAGCAGACAAACATCTGTCAAGAATGATAATGCTTAACACACAGGAACAGATTGCCTATGTGTAACCATTCTGAGTTCAAGTTTACCACAAATGCCTAATCTAAATGTTCCTTGCTGCAATTTAACCCTGTTACTTTTCAACCTCGGCAGAAACAGGAATGTAAATTTTCTGTTCTCATGAAACAATCATTTTTTCACAATTAAATTCTTCGAAAATTGGGGGAGAGACTTATCTTCATTCTTATTTATATCGTAGATTTTTCATTTAACTGAACTGTCTGACCTGCCCGCTTGTTGTCAATACATTTTGTACAGCTGTTTTTCATGATTTCCCCCAAGGGAAACTCAGTTATGTACCAGCTGTGTTGACCTCAGAACTGGGAGGGATAATGGTTCCAGTATGTTCAGAAAGCCTAAAATTAGTTTGTTTCATCACTCCAGCTTAAAATTCGTTGTGTACCACAGGCCAACAGAGACACAGGTATAACTAATAAAATCAGAGTGAACCTCTCTCTTCATCTTGAGCTGGCAGTCCGCCAAGTTGGCCAAGAAGGCCAACGGCATCCTGGCCTGTATCAGAAATAGTGTGGCCAGCAGGAGCAGGGAGGTGATCGTGCCCCTGTACTCGGCCCTGGTGAGGCCGCACCTGGAATACTGCGTTCGGTTTTGGGCCTCTCGCTACAAGAAGGACATTGAGGTGCTGGAGCGTGTCCAGAGAAGGGCAACGAAGCTGGTGAAGGGCCTAGAGCACAAGTCTTACGAGGAGCGGCTGAGGGAACTGGGGCTGTTTAGCCTGGAGGAGGCTGAGGGGAGACCTCATCGCGCTCTACAACTACCTGAAAGGAGGTTGTAGTGAGGTGGGTGTTGGTCTCTTCTCCCAAGTAACATGTGATAGGACAAGAGGAAACGGCCTCAAGTTGCGCCAGGGGAAGTTTAGATTGGATATTAGGAAAAATTTCTTCATCGAAAGGGTTGTCAAGCATTGGAACAGGCTGCCCAGGGAAGTGGTTGAGTCACCATCCCTGGAGGTATTTAAAAGATGTGTAGATGTGGTGCTTAGGGACATGGTTTAGTGGTGGACTTGGCAGTTAACGGTTAACGGTTGGACTCGATGTTCTTAAGGGTCTTTTCCAACCTAAATGATTCTATGATTAACTTCATTAAGTCTAGCTTGTCCTTGTAATTACGCAGTGTACTTACTACTTGGCAGAGTCTGAGAGCTGGTACTCCCTCCGTCTGTCATAGCATTCTTGAATTCCTGGGTCTTCCCAGAGCTTCTTGATCGCTTCAACTTGTTTTCTTTCCAGCACTGTTACTTTATCCACTTCCACTTCTTGGATCATCTGAGCACTCTCCTAATCAATTAAATGATTACACTATTGTGAGAAAGGATTGCCATCAGCATGCAGTACACACTCTCCCCTTTCTTTATTATATTCTTCCCATCAGTAAGACTAAGCATCAGACAGGAACTTAGGAGAAAATAAGCAGTTTTAATCCTTGAATGCATTTAATTTTCAAGTCAAATGACTGCTAATGAATGTTTTAAACAAGTTAGTCTTGCTTACTGTCATCCAGGCGTGATTTTTCTTTTTAAAAGGGGACCTTGACAAAGGTTTTTAAACTCACTAAATTTTAATACCAATTTATAATAGTGGTAATGTTTCTAAAATTCTAGATACTTTCTTTAATACAGATATTTTTGGTTTGTTCGTTGGTTTGGTTTGTTTCAGGACAAACCAGAGGCTGACCTAGCATAAACAGTCATCAAGCAGGCATGAAATTCCTACAAGCCATCTTTTGCTTAATGCCTATCTCAGTGAGATACAGCCAAGGTACCACTCTATGGAAAGAAATAATTTTTCTTTGCTGTTAAGTGTAAGACATATTGCAAAGATAAATGTAAGTTTTGCTTTTAAGGGATACAAAAGAATCTACTGTTCTGCAGCGAGTGGTGCAGAATCAAGTTGATTTGCTTGAAGGAAGGGATGTCATCCACAGAGCTTGAGGAGTGGGCCTGTGCAAACTTCATGAAGTTCAACAAGGCCAAGTGTAAGATCCTGCACCTGGATCGGGGCAACCCCCAAGTATCAACACAGGCTGGGGGACGAAGGGATTGAGAGCAGCCCTGCCGAGAAGGACTCGGGGTACTGGTCGGTGAGAAGCTGGACATGAGCCAGCAATGTGCGCTTGCAGCCCAGAAGGCCAACCGTATCCCGGGCTGCATCAAAAGAAGCGTGGCCAGCAGGTCGAGAGAGGTGGTTCTGCCCCTCTGCTCTGGTGATCCTCAGTACAGGATCCACCTGGAGTACTGCGTCCAGCTCTGGGGTCCTCAGTACAGGAAAGACATGGACCTGTTGGAGCGGGTCCAGAAGAGGGCCACAAGAATGATCAGTGGGATGGAACATCTCTCCTATGAAGAAAGGCTGAGAGGGTTAGAGCTGTTCAGCCTGAAGGAGAGAAGGCTCCAGGGAGACATTATTGTGGCCTTTCAGTACTTGAAGGGGGCTTATAAGGAAGACAGGGACGAACTTTTTACCAGGGCCTGTAGTGAAAGGACAAGGGGCAATGGCTTTAAACTGAAGGAGGGCAGACTTAGCTTGGACATAACGGAGAAATTTTTTATGATGAGGGTGATAAGGCACTGGACCAGGTTGCCCAGAAAAGCTGCGGATGCCTCATCCCTGGAAGTGTTGAAGGTCAGGTTGGATGGGGCTTTGAGCTACCTGATCTAGTGGAAGGTGTCCCTGCCCATGGCCAGGGGGGTTTGGACTAGATGATCTTTAAAAGTCCCTTCCAACTCAAACCATTCTATGATTGGAAGTGTTCTTTTCTGTAACTGTTCAACTCAGTATATAGTAATGTTTGCTAATACCTTTAGTAGTCTGGAAAAGTATTGTTCTAAAATGCATTTAATATTGAAATAAATTAACTTATTTAGTGTTTGGAATACAACAGATTGGTTACTGTACATTCAGTTTGCCAACACTTTTTCCAGTGCATTGCTAGAGATCATCTAGGTCATCCTCTTTAAAAATGAAACAAGGTTTCTTCCCAACCTCTTATTTAAGCTTGGGCGAGTCACAAATAGTAATGCTGCACACAGATCTGGTTTGGATCCGGGGCAGTGAATTCTTGGGTCTGAACTGGAAAATCTGAATACTGACAGACCTGTTCATCTAGTCATTCAAAATGAGATAAAGATCAGCCAGAAAACAGCGTTTTTGTAGTTATGGGGTCTTTAAGTTACCATGAGCAACTGCAAAGCAGTGTAACATAGAGCCTAATGCCTCAAAAGCAATTTCTCCTTGCTGAGTTCAAAATAATTTTGAATATTCTAACTCTCAAAAATGTTGTGAATATGCTACTCTTCTGAGTTTTCATACTAAACACTTAAAATGCATTCATAATGCCTGGGAAAATTCTCCATGATTGGAATTATCTTTGATTTTACAGGTATTCTGTTACACAAAACCAAATGCCAAGTCTAAAATAGTAGCTAAAAGCTTTAAACATAGCTGTTATAATTACTGCTACACTCTAAATTGTTAATCAATGTAAATAGTTTAAAATGCATCATGGTATAAACATCCCTGTTAGTATTTCTTGTAGATTCTTTACAGATATAATGTAATCCATATTGGGTTTTTTAACCTTAATTTTACAGAACATAACTATGTTAGCAAGACAGGTAATATTGTCTATTGAATAATTTTTTCTGTTCTGTAATTATTGTATCAAATGTTCATGCTGAGCTAGAACAATGTAGGAAGAGCTTTACCTGTGATTTGTACTTTATTTAGCCACTGTATATGAGGTAACAGATTAGAGACCCTGTGTCCTGGCAGTAACCTTTCTCCTTATTTTCAATCTTATCTGGTGAAAGATGTGCAGAATAATTTGGATTATGAATAACTCTTCCTTCAATTCACTAAAGTCACAGAACAGATACGCTTTTCTAGCGAAAAGAAAGGGCAGTGACATGCAAATACCTATCACAGCATTTTGATTGATTAGGGTTGACTTAGGCTTCATTCCACGCTAAAACTTTGCATGTGTCTAAGAGGGCTTCATGTAACTGTAGCTGCAAAACCAGCTTTGGTACCAGGTCTTTGTGAAAAGTATTTCGTAAGTGTCTACATCTGCAAACCCCAGCCCCTTTATCTGGCCAAGTGCCATGTGACATCAGGAAAAATCCTTTTTGGGAAAATAATTCAGATGAATCCTTCATTTCATAGTGTATAACAAATAGAGTTCAACACTGACAGCTAGTCTCATGCTCGTAATTCAAAGAAAAAAAATCCTACAATGAAGTGAAAAATTACTTATAGCACCATGTGATTTTAGTATCATTCCACAGGTATGTCTTCCTCATCCTCAGTAAACAGGCACGTTACTAATAAAAAACACCTTTGGTATGAATTATGGGTGGATAATATGACATGAAAGCAAGATACAGGAAATTTCAGTTTCTTCAAAATGCAATCATCAAGATAAATGAGTAATGAGTAATCTTAGGAGACAGTGTACAATAATCCAGCCAGGATCTGATCGAAAAGGGGATTAAACTTGAAACACACTCCAAGATATCCTTAGAAGCAGCAGAAAGTCCTTCAACCTGGGCAGTAGGAGAATCCTGTATTTTTTACACTGGGAAATACCAGCATCTTAACTAAAAGGCAGGTGTCGCGGGGTTTTGTGTGAGTGTGTGCGCATGTGCGCGTGAGTGTGTGACAGTTTATTACTAACTGCAAATATTCCTCGTAAGTAACAACCAGAGCAATGCCAGCTATTCCAGCCTCTGACTACTGTAATGATTGAAGTAAATTATTTTTCTACAAAATCGTGTTGACATTATAAAACATATCAATGTAAAATAGGTTTATTTTGTTTGTTTTACATCTAGTTTTAAGTAATACTGATTGTCAAACATTTATATTAGCTATAGCTTAGTTGCAGACATTCTGTATTGTATTCATGGTCAACACAAATATTAATTGCAACTGAACTGAAAATTTGCAAGCCATGGCAAAATTAACTAAGCCCCCAAACTCTATACACAGCTCTTCCAGTACATAATAAGAACCAGTTCTGCTAATCAGGGCTTTTTTTTAAACTGTTGTATCTAACCCACTGAAGGATTTTTGCTGATTATTGCAAATAATCTTTGCCTTTGAATCTGTCACAAACTGTGAAAGCTAAATAATTTTTCTAACCCGCTATAACTCTTTAAGCTAGTTTGACATCTGATAAAATGCTTAAATGTCCTTTTTTTCCTCTGGTTAAACACTACAAAGGGTAACTGAATGATGTAAGATTCCCACAAAGCTCACAGGGCTTTTATTATTTTGCTGTTGAATCCCACCACTGGGAATTCTAGAAAAGGGTTATTAAATCTTGTCAACAGTTAGTAATAATGTAAGTTTACATTTTAACAAATATCTTTTGGCACTGCCAACAACATACCATGAAAGTAGTTTAAATATCATGAAACTTTATAATGGGATTTTGGCAAGAAGCGGACCTCACTGTTTCAAGTGGACAGGGTCGTATCTTAAAACCTTCCTCTGCAACTTGAAGAACACCAGAAATTTAGTTTTCATTTCCCTCAAAGCAAGAGTGGAATTTTATAGAATTCTCACATACCACTAAGAAGTTAGCCCAAGAGAAGTTGTGGAAATATGCAGCGTTGTAATACATGAGCAGAAAGAACAGAAAGGGCTCACTAATATGCGAAGAAAACAAAACAAAACAGATCTACAATCATTACAGACCAAACCAAGGAACAAAGAGGGGAAATGCAAAACAGCACAAGCACATGTTAACGTCAGTTATTGGCATAAAATTTTTTTTAATGAAATGCAAGCAACAAATGAGTTCCAGAATTCACTCTTAATTAAAATATGTATAGCACATTATGCTCTCTCTAAACACGGTGTAAGCAGGAACAGCAAAAGTGACATTAAAAGTGCTGTAACATTTTTGTATTAAAAATCCCTATTCTGAAGTTACCTTACTTCAGGCTGATTTTTTTTAAGTAGACCTCTGCTTCACGATGACATGGTGCAGGTAGAGAAAAGAATACAGATGATAAGGGCAAGTGATTTTAAATGCAACAGAAGTAGGAGAATATACTTGTTTCATTTAAAAAAACACCACCACAAAACAAAACTGAAAAACAAACCTTTTGATCCTGGAAAGAAAACTGATCATGTATAACACAGACAGTAGCAAAATTGTTTGGCAAATACATTCAAAGTCTGTGTCTAAGCTGCTTAGAATACTAAAAATCTATTAGTTTCTTAAAAATCTATTACTGGATTCTCTACCCGAAATCAAATTTAATCCTGCAACT